TACAAAACGCACTTGACACCAAGTTATGTTGCCCCAGCCCGCATTCACTGTGCATTTTTTCACCTGCAATCAGATGCTGCAACCCCGGGTGCCCATGAGCCCCGCTTCAAAGCTAGATTGTTTCGAATAACCTGAAGTGCGTTACCACTCAAACTTGGGTAACTGTGTGGAGAATGACGGCAACGTATTAGAAAGTCATCGCTTTTACCTAGTTATACTCTTGTCCTTTGCACAGGCATGTACGAGTTGAAAAAGTGACGCAATACTTGAGCAGGAATTCACTGTGTTCTTCTTTGTCTGTCGGGTAAACAACATCCCAGACCTAGTTCACTTGAAATGAGAATACTGTTTTCGAGGGGAGTAGTGAGAAAAATCGTTCAAACTTGACACGATCAATAAAACATTACGGATTAAAGAGAACTGGGCTTGACTGGATAGAAAAATGACCTCGCTCGTCTCAGCACTAGCCCCCTCAACTGCCAGTTGGATCGATGGATTCACACTGCTGATGAGACTCGACTAGATAGAATATATAGACTAGATAGATATCTATCCAGTGCTTTTCAGCTCGCGCCTCATTTACACGACGAATACGTCATTTATTCAAGTCAAATCCTTCGTTTCTCTCATATCACAAATACCCAGGTTGTGAAAGTTTCCAATCGAGTCATGACTCCGAAGGTCATTGCTGAGATGAGCGAGGCGCGATGCCCGCACCAAGCTTGGAAAGATGGCTTGTGCTATATCGTATATGATCAAAATGAGAAATGATTTGATCAGCTGCCCGGTGGTGGTCGAGTATGTTTGCGTTCCGCGTATGAGGCCCCTGATTCGATCCCTAGTTGGGTCGATGGATTCGCACACAGCTGATGAGACCTAACCAGGTCGAAACAGCTGTCCAGTGCCTCCTAGTTTTACATGACGAATTCATCTTTTGAAAAAAATGACATTCTTTTCACTTTTTGGCTATTGTTAATCCCCGTCACACACTTTGCTAGCTTGTGCCAACCCGTACAGTTCTGGGTTGAACGAAGATCCTGAAGCTCATGCTTCCACGATGTCCAGTTGTCGCTGTGCTCTGTTTTGTCTGTATGCATGGAATTTCATTTTTCTCTGATGCCCCAAATGCGCAACAACTAAAAAAACACTCGCGGTCGAGATTTGTGCTTTTTCTGTCGATTGCCTCATATCGGATATTGGTGGTGAATGTCAAAAAACCACTTCGAAGTAAATGCCAGTACTCAAAGATAGTTCCGATTTTCAAATCGCCCTCCTTCCCTCTTACGGCCGGACATTGAAAGGAGTTTAAAAAAACGGGAGAGTGATATCAGTCTAAGGCTGCCAGGAAATCAGGTTGAATGAACCACCTCTGAATCGACCTGATGGAGACTACCACTGCCATGCGTCAAGGGCAACGACACTGACCTTCTAACACTTTCGTTATGCACTTTTAGTTGTTGCCTTTCATTTCTTTGTTCAGAATATTTCGTTTATCCCCGCTCGTTCTCTTCACCGTTTACATTGCTGTTTTCCCAAAAGCAACCAACTTATTCATAGTGTGTAATAGCGGCAATAAATAGAATGCAAACCGCCAACCTGAGTTTTCACCGACCGGATTGTTCTATAGATCAAGTCAGCTGTGAACTGCTTAGAAATGCTGTGTGTGTATGTGTGTGTGATTAACTGCTTCTGATTGTTCAAGTTATTCCAGATTTATTATTAATATTATTATTGCTTACCTGATGTACTTTTCTTGAAATTACATTTCTTGTAAATCCTTGATCCACGTTCTCAATATGTCCAGCACATTGGAAAATCAGTTTTTTTATTTGGTCTGTAAAACGTAACGCGGCTACACCATTTTGCCCACTAAAACCGATGGCGCTGTGTTGCCCTCACCCAACTATCCTTTGCTATCCCGTTGTTTTATTAGTAGTACCTTAGTGTGGTGGACGGACAACAGACGGGGTGGAACCCAGTAGTCACGAGGACCCGCTGTTCAGCAATGGCAACCGGTAACCTAAGCCCTGTGGGACTTGGAGTGGCGAACCGCATATAAGTTCTCGCTAAGTTGGGTGTGGTATTGAGTAGGACGACAACAAATCTGTCTACCACCAAGGTTGGGTGGCGGTGGCTAGGCTCGGACCATAGGGTTCAAAGCATGCCGATGGCAACGACTAAACCATTGCTCTACCACCACCACCATAACGATGTGCTGTTCATTCGCGTCCAGCTCGTTTCACTTTGCTTTTTAGGCTTAGCATGAATCAGTGTTTGTATTTGTATCCGATGGGTGAAACTAGTTCGTATATGTAATTGCATGTCTAAAACAAGAACCGCTCGTATATGATGTACATCTCGGCCATACTCGATCGACTCGAAACACGCTGATTAGTTTGTAGCCCAAAACTGTTCGTGCAATACTGTGATTGACAGCTCCTCTAAATAGCCTGATGCAATGGCTGTTGAGACAAAAATCAGCCACTCACATCATAGCGAATATTCGTATATAAAGGAGAGTATTCCTGGAAAGATCCTTTGCTTGAATTGTTGTATTGAAGTCCTGGCGAATCTGGGATATTGAATTGAATTGCTGTGACGTGTCGTCAAGACGATCAGTCTAAACTGAAAGCCCCACGAGACTGTAGTCATCATCAGTTCACTGAGTTATCGAATCCGAAATAGTTGAAACTCGGTTTCCCGACACACATTGATTCACGCGGTCCATGTCAGTCGGTTCCTTCTTCTTCTTCATCCGCATGAAACATGCCGGTCTCAGTGAACCTGGCTCGAAATTCACACTGTTCATTGTCAAACACAGTGACAGAGATTCTCTCGTTAAAATATTTTGTTTTTGTATCTGTTGTATATGAGGATGTGACTTGCGTTTAATTTAACCGGAATGCGCTGTTCGACCAACAGACCATGATCGTACAGTGTGTAGATGGATACTCGTGCACTCATTGCGGCCTGAGACACACACACAAACACAAAGGTGTTAGCCTCTGTTGATCAACGTTTACAAATCAGTTGTTCAGTTCAACATCTGAGCAAAAACGGAATCGACTACACCTTAACAGCTACTCTACATCGCTGTGTGTGTGTGTGTGTGTGTGTGTGTGGAAGGGGAGGGGGGGGGCTGTTACGCATATCGCGTTGATGTATTTTTCTTTCTTGACCAAAAATATGTCCACCAGACGATACGGTGCCCCAATTGTCAGCGTGCGAACGGAACCGAAACGAACGTACCACGCTTGTAGCATTTCTGTGATCACGAATTTCTGTGTTCCTCTCTGATGCGACAACTCAGCTTGAAACGTTTTATTCTGCAATTTGGGCCGTGTCGTTGCAGTATTCTTAATTGCCATCTGCCCCATTCGTCGACGATCACAAACACACCAACTTTCTGACCAATCGAGGCGATGCGTCTCGAGTACTTTCATTTTATTCGGCTTGTTAATGACCAGTCCATAGGCTTCCAACGTACGGAGCGACTCAGTATATTGGTTTTCTCAGACGAGAGAGAGAGGTAAAATTCAGTCACATGCAAAACTTTCATGAATGTTGTCACCATCCTAATGCTGTCAGATGCTACTCACACCTGCAAGTAGTATATTTGGATTACGCAAAAGAATGTGATTATCGGTTTCTCACAAAGGTCAAGAATGAACAAGACCTGATGGATCGAATTAGTATGCCCAAAATTGTAACTACTGACTGCTCCTTCAATTATTCTGTGTGCTTGTTCGAATCATGATTCATGTGTTCCAGATGAGACGTTTTGTTCTGTGTGATCCGATTCTGTTCTTCAAATAAGTAACTCTCCTGAACAGTGNACTGCATTTTGGAATTAAAGCAATCGGAATAGCACACACACACAGAGTGCGGCTGAGCGCCACCAAACAACTATCTAGTGACCATTGGACAACAGTCCCTGTCAAACGAATCAGAAATGCCCACATATCTCCAACGGATTGATACTCACAAGAGAACACTGGTGCGCAGATTTTGGTCAAACATCAAAGTTGTCTTATGGGAATAACCTACAAGCTCATTCGTTTCTCGTCCCATAGATTCGTGTTGTGGTTAAAATATAGTGATGCATACAATTTCTTGTGTGAAAATGTCACATGATACGGGATTCTCCAACTGCTGTGTGCAGCTTCACTTATGTTGGAATGGAAGGTGTACTACTGGTTCATCGGGTCTCTGTGTGAAAGATTCAATGCTTGCGGCACATAGACGACGTGGGTTGGGAGAGAGAGTTCCAGATCGAACTCACACTTTGACTGACGCCGGCATTCCAGTCGGGATTTCGAGATCACTAGTTTGAACGGATGTCCTCTAAGATGAACATTGGGTGATGACGGATGACTTCGGTCTTGTATTGTTTAGTATACCATAATCATATCTCTTCTGATGTGATGGTATTGATCGGAATATAACCCCGGTGACTTCGGTCTCTCTGCGTATGCATAACGATTCAATCCCTCAACCATTTTGGTGGCCATCTCTCCAGCGTTTTGTAATCACGTTGTAGTCATGAATTCCATGCCCGGATGGCGCACCGTGTGAGTGGGCGAATGTATGCTGATAGTAGACGGGGGAAAAGTGCTGACCCAAACTGGCCAAAGACCCGCTTAAGCAAATCGACATTCTTTACAGTTGCGTTGGACACCTTGGTGCAGTTGAGTGAGCAGCTTAAGTTTTCTTGAATGATGATGCCCAGGTCCTTCTCACTTGAGGCGTGTGACAATCTGTTTGATTCAAGCTTACCTATAAACGCCTGTGATTCCCTTCCCAAATGTGATTTAAAAATAGGCGGAGAGCACTTCCTGAGGAACCAACTTTTGACACCTAGTAGTTCACTATCACACTCACGCAGTCCTCCGTATGCATCTTCCTTTTTAGAGTTCCTAACTAAATCTTCCCTTCAATTTCGTCAGTAATTTCAGTGAATTTTATGATGAATGCGAGTGAGAAGTTGGTAAATGACGCATTCTTTCCACAACTTTGGACTTATTACAGGTCACTATTTTAAAGTTCCGTTGATTACTATCGAATATTGTTGGTCTCATCAAATTGCCTCACAATTTTACGAATAAAGATCGGCCTACGGCCATTCTGAACTGGTTCTTTAGCATGATTTTCGGGTTGGTACTTCCGTCTCTGTCTCTCAAATTTCCGACTGTGATGTCGATTGTATCTGGAGTGTGTC